AGTATTCATATATTTACTTATTCATTTTTTTCTTCAACTTTTTTTTTAACTATTTTTTTTTCGAAAATTCTCAAGTACTTTTATACAATTGTAAACAGAACACTCAGATATATTGTTTTTTTTTTTGCTATTTTTTTTGTAAGGTACTGAACTTGAACTTTGGCTAGTCATTCTTCGTTGCAGTAACCTTATCACTGTTAACAACTTTTTAAGAAACTTATGTTCTACAAGAATTTTTGGATTGGTTGAAAATTTTTGATCAAATTTCAAACTCTTCATGGTAAATTTGAATGACCGCATATATACGGCAAATACTTTTATTTTCCCGATGGCTCTAGGCTAGCAAAGAAAATTTGCACTCGTGCCGGTAGAGCTACTCGAAAATAGTTAAATTTGATGGCTCGTCACTACTGATAACAGCAAATTATCTTAGTGTACCACCTTGTTGTTCAAAACTTTTAAAAGTAGATAAAAACTTATAGATTGTTAAGCAACATTACACTTTGCAGTTCAGCGTAATTGTCTCTTAAGTAAGGGCACGGTAAGACTGTTGAAGGTAGTAAAGTTAAATATAATTTTGCCCGAAAGTGGACTAAGCGATAACACCAGAAAGCTCAAAATAGCTGATATTTTATCGCTTTTATTGTACAGTTGTTGAAAACAACAATTATTTTACCTTTTATAGCAACAATGAACGAGTACTGAAGTGTACAATTTGTCATGAAAGACTGGAAGATACACACTTTGTCCAGTGTCCGTCTGTCTCATCACATAAATTTTGCTTCCCATGCTCTCGTGAAAGTATCAAAAGACAAGGAACACAGGTTGGTAAAAATGATTTACTCTGATCTAATGTTTTTGACTTTGAGAAAAAAATATGCATATTTTTTGTTGCTATAGTTTTAAGTATAATATTTAAATATTTTTTACTGTATAAACTGCTATTTTTTTAGGAACCCTATTGTCCATCAGGTGAAAAATGTCCTCTTGTCGGCTCGCAAACGCCATGGGCTTTTATGATCAATGAAATTGCAACAATACTTGGTGATGAGTATGAACAGTATAGACGAGAACGTGAAGCAAATGGTACCGGAGCAACAACATTAGTACAAAATCCAAGTGCACAGGTATAAGCATTTTTATAAGAAAATAACTTTCTTTTTGAAAGTTTTCACTAAAAATTGTTTTCTTCACACGCTACTGCGTTTTTTAACCTTCTGTGTCAATTAAAGGAAGACTTTTAGACTACCACATCTCAGAGTGGTTCAACACAGCAAAATTCTCCTGCTTCGACTACAACAAGTGTAGCTTCAACTACAAATCAAGGTGGTCCATCTTCAGCTTCAACGCAGCATGTCGGCTAATTTAGTGAATTCTACGGTATTAACAAAACACTCTCACCTAGCTGTTTCTTATTACTTTCCTATATGAGCTCAAATGCCTATTACAGAAATCTCTACGATAACTAATTCCACACTGTTGCAGCTTAATAAGTAACCGGTTGCTAAAGTCGATACAGACAACTGATGGATGATGACCGGAGAACCTTTGTACCACTGTCAAAATAAAACAAAACAAAACATAAAATGCTCAGATATCGTGCAAACTCATGGAATGAAGGTGCACATAAGTTGTTCGTTCGTTTTACGAGGCCCTTGGTGGAAATGAGTTTACATCTTCCACTTTTTTTACGTTTTCTGTTTTTTTTTGTTTATTAATATTATCAGAAGCATGCTGATCTTAATATTTTTTGCTTTTTTTACTTTTCTGACCTGTCATCTGTAATGAGTATAAAACAAAAGCAAAAACCCTTTGATATGGGCCTCAGTATACATTTTTATGGCAATAATGGCAACAGTTCGCAATAACGATAAGTTTTGTTTTTATTGGGAAAACCAAGTTTTCTTTTTCGACAAGTAAGCATTGAAAAGAAATGACTTTTGGGGTAATGCGGAAAGAAATAAAATTTGCTGGCAAGTTTTTAATCAAATGCTCGTAGAAAGTGAAGATTGTTTTGTAAGTGGGAAGCTAAATGCTACCGGATCAGTAGTGAGGTGGTATTTGACAGCTAAGAAATAACAGCAAAACAAAACAAGAAGAAAGTAATGTTGCGAATGTTGATTTTCTGTTTTCTATTCTGTTATGTTCTTTTTTTATTTTTATCATTCATTAGTTTTTTTTCTTGAATCAGGACTTGCTATATACGTTGTTTGTTATCACTCAGGGCTGATGATGGAGTACAATTACTAAGTAAGTTAAAATTAAAGGAAAAAAGAGATAGAATAAGGGATCAATGAGAGATTATTTACAGAAAGGTGAAATACGTAAGTGCATGTAATTTAAGAAAGCCGTATACTAGGTTGGTTTTTGTGCCAGTACGGGTCATCTAATTTACGATCATATTTCTCTAGAGGGGGAAATGAGCTCATATAAGAAAAATTTTTTGGAAGCTTTTAGAGGTAAATTAATTCAATCTAACAAGAAATTTTAGCGATTTACCGTTTTAGTTCCTACACGGTTAATTGTCGTTTTGTTCGTCGACGTAATGAAAATTTTGTGATTCGCACTTTTATAAGAAGAAACAATTTCAAACCGAAGGCTGCACGTAGAGGAAATCTCAAGACAAAAAGCGCAAATTTTTTTT